GGGCCCCCTTTTTTTTTCTTTTGACATGTTAAAAAGTTTATTGATTCATTTAAAAATGATATTAAAACCATGAATGTTTAAACAGAAAATGTAATTTTGTGGGAAATAGTTTTTATAACTATGTTTTCCCAAACAAAATATAGCAGGAAGTGTGACATGGCTCTTTTTGCAGATCTTTTTTTTTTTTTTTCTTTTTGTCTAAAAAGAATAATAGGAAATAGTAAAAAGAAAGAAATGATACAAAACTTCGCCAGACAAAAGCCTAGGAATTTGACGGCAGTTGCTGTACTGCATTCCGCTGTCTTCTGCTGGCTCCAGCATCCCCACGCAAGCCCGCAGTTCATCTTTGGTATCTGGAGAATTGTGCTGATTCATTGCTCACCAGGGATGAAAAGGGGCTTCTGTGTGAAGGTGTGGCTGCATCTTATGAAACGCTGGAGTGAGGTTTCCCTCCCTCTAATACAGTTTCTGGGTTTGTTTGTTTGTTTGTTTTGGTGGAACCAGGGATTGAACTCAGGCCCTTGTGCTTGCCAGGGAAGCGCTTGTTCCACTGAGCCATCTCCCTGGCCCCAAGTTTCTGGTCGTTAATGTCACTTGATACTGGGCTTCTGGGCATCAAGGAGTTGAGAAGCTGTCATACAAAGGCTTCCCGACATGGACCACTGGCCATCACAACCAAAATGGTGCCCTCTGGTCTTGCTGGGACTGGGGATCCTTTTGGAGTCCAGTCTGTGCCTTTTGCTCTGACTTGTCCTCCTTCTTCCCCTTAGCCTTGTAGCGGTGCCTGGGAACCTGCGTCCTGTGGGAAGACAGAGGACCAGATGACGGCTTCGTCTCAGACTCATAAATATGTGAATGCATTCTCAGCCCGGACTCTGGTCATGTGAGACATTTCCAGAAAAGCATTATGGTTTTCAGAACACTTCAAGTTGACTTGGGATATATCATTCCTCGACATGAAACTTTCCATGATTGGGAGAAGAACCTATTTTTGTTGTGGTACAACAGTTGAGAGCAGCACCAAGTGCTTTTAGTTGGATGAAATCTTATTGGATTTCGCTCAACTAAAAAGAATTTTTAAAAAATAAATAGCAGTCTTACCTAAATTATTAGGTAATGAATTTTGTAACCAGTTAATATCTTGAAGCAGATTTTTTTTTAAAAAAGAAAGAAAATGATTTATCTGTATTTTAGAGAGGCCAACAGATCAGTATTTTTTCCTGTGTTGAGTTTTTAGAAATTTTACACAAAAAAGGTACTCCAGTATTCTACTTAACTCAATCACTAAACATACATGCAGATTTTTTACAAATCAGTAAAAGCATTACTATAAGCGTTGACTGAACACCTGGAACAATTAAGGGAGATTGTAAATGTTCATTTATGGCTGATGACATTGGAGGTACATTTGTTGTACTAAACCATTGTATGAGTCTTTGTTAGCTTGCTTTAAAAATTATTACTGTATGAAATAGTTTTATAAAAAATTATATTTTTATTCAGTAATTTAATTTTGTAAATGCCAAATAAAAACTGTGTTTTGCTGCTACAGTCTTAGCCTGTAGACATGCTGCTAGTGTCAGAGGGGCAGTAGAGCTTGAATGGAAAGAGAAGAAACTTGGGGTTAGGTAATCGTCTATGCACTAGTATCTCAGACTTTTTTATTTTTAAAAAATATACAATTTTGTTTTCCTTTTGTAATACATTGGAAAAGTTGTTTGGGAGATTTTGCCTTTGTTCTGTGTTTTTGTTTCTTGGTTCCTTTTTGTTATTGTTGGTTTATAAAGCATGCATTGCACTTCCTTTTTTTTTTTTGGGAGATCTGTGTTGTTGATGTCCTATGTTTTGTTTGAGTTCAGCCTGACTGTACTTTAATTCAGGGGTTCTGAGTCTGATCAGCACCGCCAGGGTATCCAAGTATATGATATCAGAACTGCCTCATGGGTCTGGTGTTTGCAGCTGAGGAGAAAGAGTCAAGTCCTGTGTTTGCCTCTGGGAGAAGACAAAGACTGGGATCAATAGTGAGTTTCTGCCTTAAGAACATTCAGTGCAGGATAGCCAGCACTGAACCTTTGATGACAGTGTACTTACTGCCTTGTAGCAAAATAAAGCTGTGCCCTTATTTTACTTACTTTGGACTTCTGTCTTGTGATTGTGAATGATAAGTGTATTTTTAAGAATATGAAGTGAAGTCAAAGAATTTTCCTTTTTTAAAAATTTGTATACCATCTGAACGTCATTGAAGAACCAAAGAACCATTACAGCCGAAGGAAGAACAAGCAGAGCAAGTCAACAGCTCACAAAATAACCACAGTAACAACAGGGAAGATTTCTAAGATGTACCCATCTGGGGCTCCAGCGGTGTTTGAGTTGGATATTTTATTTACCAAAGTACTGCTATCCAGCACATGGGCAGGGAATAAGAAGGCCACGGGGTGGGGGTGCACATGGGTACTACAGGGCATTGCCACCTGGAAAGAGAGAGTCGTGAAAGTCAGGAGCCCTCACCTGGTACAGTGACCTTTGGCAAGGCCACTGCCACCTGAAGAGACCTCACAGGGAGAGAACCGAGGGCTGCTTCTAACTTGCCTTCCCACCTAAACCCAGCTGTTTTAACTGGCAGAATCAACCACAAGCCAGAGGACGGGGGAACACACGGATGGATATGAGCCAGAAGGTCAGACTTCTAGGGCATCCCAGCATCCTACATTCAGCCCAGCTGCCCTTTCCATAGACAGATCCCAACTGGCTCTGGGTCTCAAGACTCAGTCTTTTTGCTGTGCAACAATATCCCATAAACATCAATCCTGTTACCTTATTCTAGGCTCTGTCACAGCTCAGATGCTCAGTTTTCAGATGCATGATGCAGTTGATGTTCATGGAGCTAACATCTGTTAAACCTAACTACCAGTCCTTAAGACTGTTCTGCAGTGTTTGATCGTTCAGATAGATGAGACATCATTTTAGAGTTAGGTGCTGATTCTGCTGCCTACTAGTAGGTTGAACATGGCTAAGGTACTAAGCTCTAGGATCCTGTTTATTTATTTATTTATTTATTTTCAGAACTGGGGGATTGAACTCAGGTCCTTGCGCTTGCCAGGGAAGCGCTTATTCCACTGAGCCATCTCCCCGACCCCCTTTTTTCTTTATTTAGGAAATGATTCTTCCTTAAAATGAAACATAAGTAGAGCACTATACAAATACTTGTATTACATGTGCTTTCCATATTTAAGTACATGCTGTGAAATGTCCTGTGGACATCTGGCTGGTAATAGGCATTGCCAATTACAGAGTGGAACTTTAAGAGTCACATTAGAATCATCAAACTAGGGCTGGGGAGATGGCTCAGTGGAATAAGTGCTTCCCTGGCAAGCTCAACAGCCTGAGTTCAATTCCCAGTTCTACCAAAAAAAAAAAAAAAGAATCATCAAACTAATGACAAGAGTGACCTGAGGGGCCGGGGAGATGGCTCAGTGGAATAAGCACTTCCCTGGCAAGTGCAAGGGCCTGAGTTCAATCCCCGGTTCCGCAAAAAAAAAAAAAGAGTGACCTGAATGTTATGTAGACTTATACAACTATAAGGATATATTCATTTTCTCGGTAACCATATAAACCAATATCTCGAGTCTAAAAGCTTTTTGGAGATATATATTTAGATTTTATGTCCAAAGACACTAACATTCAAAAGTACCTCTAAAAGGCAATTGTCCTAATCATTTTTATGTCCATAAAAACATGTAAAATATTAAAGTGATTAAAGGTAATCATTGAACAAGTTTTCAGTAATCTGAGGATATTTTTTATCATAAGGAACACTACTGACATGATAAAGTGAGTGAATGAATATTTTTACAGCGACACACAGGAAAGTGAGCTCACATCAATGAATCAGGTACCTAGCAGTTAAGGCCTTATGATAACTTGCTTTTAGAGCATCTCAGTGCGTTGAATATGGTATTAGAGAAGGTTAAGTGTGGGCACAAAGGACTGGTTTAAATATTCCACGAGAGGGCTAGGGTATAGCTCAGCAGTAGAGCTGAAATTAGGCCTACATATAACGTGGAGTTCCATCCTGGGACACAAAACAGCATGAAGAACCGCCACGCATGCTCGTCTCTATACTTAATGCATAACCACATGCAAGGTGAATGTTGGTCTGCTACACAGTGGCTTCAGGAAGGCAGCGGACAGAGGCTTCTAGTTCATTGCTGAAGCACTTCATTCATTAGTTTTAGATGTGGGAAAGTCCACAGCCAAGGCGCTAACAGAGTCAGTGCCTGGGGAGAGCCTACTTCCTGATTCATAGACACATCCGTGTGCTATATTCCACATGGCAGAAGAGCCTGGCCTTTTAGTGACACTGTTCTCTACAGGACGAATTCAGGAAGTAAAATAAGTGGAAATAGCTTACTAATCCCAGCTGAAATGAAACCTCCTTTGAGTTGGTATTTGCAAAGAGGGCTTCTACGTGTGCCCATTGGAGAACAGGAGAGACACTGAGAAGACTAATGTGTCCCCTAGCCTCTAGATAGGACTAGTAGGTGTGAGAGATGTCCAGGGAAGAATGTCCTTGTTTCTTTAGAAATTAGACAGTGCTAGAACTGGAAGGACCCTTCGATCTCATCAGGGCCTGTGGATCAGGGGTCACCATATTACTTCATCAGAAAAAAAACAGTTTTGTAGTCTAAGCCATCTTGGTTTCCATTCAGACTTTGCCCTTTCTTTAACAGCTCTTACTAGAGGAGTACTATTCATCCCCCTAGCTTCATTTTACTTATAATTTACTTATACTGGAGATAAAAGTACTTCTCATGGTAGTAGGGTGTTGTGAAAATTCCATAAGATAGTAAATGCCTTCTTGAATCTCCATAAAATATTGTAGTGCCTTTTGATTAGATAAGACCCAATGACTTAGGGTCACAGAACTGTGGCATCTTGCCCTAGAGAAAGGAAGACTGGCCTGTGTGTTAAATCTCTTCTCAATCTTAAAAATAACTTCAAATTTTAATGATATCTTCTCCAAATATTCTTTTTTTTTTCTCCAAATATTCTTAATCATTCTTAACATATAACAAATCTTTCTTATCCTCATGTGTTCAGGAACAGCGGGGCTTTAATGTTCCCTAAACTTGTTGGCTTGTAATCCTAACCATAACTTACGTGTGTGTGTTTTTCTCCATTGTTAATCATATACTATTACTAATGACACAGTCTGTGTGGAGTGCTCCCTGTCTGCTGGAAAGGCAGTAAGAAGAAAGACAATGTCTGAGCAGTATTGAGAACCTAAAGCCCCACCTGGAAAAGCGGGGACTCTGAGGCTGCAGAGCCAGGCACACTGAGTTTGAACCTTGTCCTTAGAGATATGGAGAGTCATTGAATAGTTGCAGGCAGGGAAATAAAATAATTAATTGATATTTGATCTGTAGTAATAACCTTGTTCAAATCCTTTATTCACAGATAGTCCAAAAATGAAACCTCAGGGTAGCGAGGACAGATGATTCAGTGTCTGGATTTCAGATCCAGATAATTGGTTTTTATATGGTATGTCGTGCCTCGTTGCTTCTTACTTTTGAAAGAATGTCCTTGAATCCTTGAAAGCCTTACTGCTTGGGATCTGGAGCACATCAAAAGCTACCTTCACACTTTATAGTTTGTAGAGTAATTAGTTCAGGAAGAATTGCTTTCTTAAAACCCTTCTCCTTTAAGAGCAGAACATTTTTAACAACAACAACAAAAAAAAAATTAAAACCTTCCCTGTCATTTTCAAAACCAGATCTTCTACTGGCTTTTTTACATAAAATAATCCCTGATATTTTAATGTTTTGATATATTTGCCCATTCAGGCATCCAGCCAATATTTGTTCTTGAAGGTAATTTTGGCTTCATTCTCTATTTTATTTCACTCTTTAATGCTGAATACATTTCTTTTTAGTTTCAATCCACCCCCTCCCTCTCTCTTTCTCT